AATTACATCCCAGCTGAATTTTTCCACTACAAATTTTCCTTTCTTGGTTGTGTCATCTTACTATTTAATCAGCTCTATTCCTTCTACCATCTTTAAAATTCACTTTCTTTCTTTCTTTCTTTCTTTCTTTCTTTCTTTCTTTCTTTCTTTCTTTCTTTCTTTCTTTCTTTCTTTCTTTCTTCACACGGGATATCACTGCTTCCTTCCAAATACATTACAAAACTCTGTGGCTTGCATACGCTTTTTATTTCCCATCTCTGTCCTCTCTGTCCACCCACACAGATAATTGCTTTGTCCACACTCTCTCTCTCTCTCCATTTCAAATGACAGATACTGCAGTGCTTTTCTCCAGCCCTGGCAATTTACTCAATAACCCCTTCCAGCATACTGGAGAAAATATAAGTTTCGTAGCCGTTCTGTTTGGCTGTCTCATCTTCCTCCACACATCAGTAAAAATTAAACTCTCTTTTACACAGTTGTACATAATTTATCCTTATTTCCAGTATCTAAGAACTTGTTTCTATCTATCATCTCTCATTCAAGACTGAAAGATCAACTCCTGATCATCAAACTTGCCACTCATCCACTTGATATGTTTTTAGCAAGCACCTCATGTTTTGTCCTAAATGCCTTGAATGCTTGAAAACAGCTCTCCAGAAACATTCACAAAGATATGTTATTTTCTCTCCTCAAATCTCCTTTTAGCATCCATTCTCTGTTGTCAAGATGTTCCCAACACTGTGTTGCACCTATCTCCATCATGTGGAACATCTCATTTTTCTTCTGTGCTCCCCTCTCTGGCCTCATAAGTTATTTCATGATTTAGACTCTGTGCTTGGAACAGAAGTTGTATTTTTCTACTGTATTTCAACAGTGAAATCCTGCTATGTGACTACATTTGCTGTGTATTCACATCATAAAACAAAACTATTGTGACTATCAGAATCAATACTTAGGACTGATATTTAGAAAAATATTAAGAAAGGATAAAATTTAGAGCAGTCTTAAACAGATTACCTTCAATAAAAAGTATTAATGATCAAAGATTATACCTAAGAAGCCTTTATTTTTGGCCCTGAGATTATGAAGGAGATGGAGTAAGAAAAAAAGTCAGTGAACCCTACATAACAAATACTCAGGAGCAAAGCTGGAGCCACTCTTTGTTTGCTAACATGTACTGCAGAGAAAGAACACAATTATGATTTCCCTATAGGTCGAGCATATGCCAAAATTAAGTTTTACAAGGTTTAATTAAGGCAAAATCTGATGCTGCAACCATTTCTGCCAAAAAAAAGATTAATTGATTTAATGTACTTCAGTGCTCCAAAAGCTAATGCCTTTCATTGTGCCAAGGTACTCTTTGAAATAGGCATGGGATGAATTAGTGATGGATGTCTGTGTTTAGAGTCATTTCAACCCACCCATGATCTCAGCAGATTGAAGACCTTAGTGGGACTATTACCATCACTCATAAGTTATATAAATACAGTAACATCAAGAGGCATGAGGTATCTTTAACAAGGTAATTTTTGATGATGGAGTGATTGTGAGCAGCCCTTGCATTCCAGAGTGCCCAGAGGAAAGGTGACAGCTGTCCAACTACAGATGCACCTCTGTAAAAGAAGTAAAAATATATCTTGAAAATTTCCATCTGCAGTGTAGCTCTCCTTGATGCCCAAGCTCTCAAGAACTCCATGATAATTTCCTACTATTCTATCAAGGAAAAGTTGGCTGCCTTTGTTCTGCCGGGTCTCTCAAATACCTATTAATATGTTAATTGATATGTTTGGTTACTTTTAATACTTGTAGTGTGTATGAAAGCATTCTTTTTTGGAAGCCAAAGTCATTACCTTATCTTATAAATAGCCAAGTATGTGTTATTTTAAAAATTGCCAGAGAAATGAGCAGAAGGTGTTGAATTTTCAAAATTTCAAAAAAAATGCTGACAACTGATCTGGCCTTTGGGCTTGTCCAATGAATACAGAAGTCATAATATTTCAATATGTTAATGAGACACAACTATGTGTGTATACATACCTTTAGCCCCTATCTAGGAAACAATCTTGCTTTTCCTTTTTTTTTGGTTCTTACCCTAGAAAAATGTTCAGACAATACTAAAAAATGAGCACTGACTCTACCGTGGGAAAGGAAGGTGAATATAAATTTTTCTGTTTATTCACAATTTGAATACTAAAAGTAGTCAATATGTGCAAAGTAGGCAAATAATATTAAAGACTGATTTCCATGAAGGGAACCAAAATCTAACACAAACAAAAGTCACAACCGTCACTTAATAATATCCTGTTTCTTTATAGAGTAGAGACTCCTGGCTGGTGCCACTTCTTCCTGAAGGCAGAGAGCAGCTGGCAACCAGAACAAACTGGCACAGGAAACAAGGAGCTGTTTCTCAAAAAGGACTTTACTTTTTATGAGGGACAGCATATTGGCTAGAGACCAGTTTGAATGGAATCTAGAAACCAGGAACAGAGTCATGCTTTTGAAAGGCAGGACTTTCAGATCCATTAGACTGGGAAATTAGTGAGAAATAGAAGAGGAAAAGGTCTTTAAATAATCCTTTCACACATAACAGCAGTGCCTGGAACACATACGCAAGGCACTCTTAAAGACAGCTGGTTCTGAACACCTATTTTTGCTAAAATCTAAAATTCATGAACATGATTGAAGGAGTGATGGCACATTATATAAAGGCAGTAGTATGGCTGTGTTAGTTCACATCACCCAAGACTATACACTAGGCATTATGATTTTCCCTTTGTACCCCCTTTGTTTTGAGTACGTTATGTATGTGAGCATATACAAGCATGTACGGGTATAAGTTTGTAGCAAAGAAAGAAAATGGATTTCCATAGATTGCTCTGTGCTTACCCTAATGTATATGAGCACAATTTTACAGGCATAAGTTATCTAGAGGTAGTGCAGAATTGTCAGGCTAAAAGAAAATATATTTTTTCTGAGATTTTCTGCCATTCTTGTGTGGCTGAGAATCGGTTCAAGAATATTCATCAAATCTGAAACTAATTTTTTCTAATGAAGAAAGAAATAAGGTTGTATTTCTCTCAATGCAACATGCATGGATTTTGCAATACAAAATGTCATTTACATTGTTTTAAGGATTTGTGGCAAAATGTATAATTCTAGAATATTATCTGATAAAACCAGAGCCAATTGTGCTGCAATGTTTCTGGATACAATACAGCAGCTGAAGTGCATGACCCTTTTACAATACAGCAATCCTTGACAGCAATTCACATGGAACAAAGAAAGGAAAAGGAAGACTCTGCTTTATCCACATTGATTGTCAATCAGTATGCACCACAAAGAGGACTGAAAAAAAACAGTCTAAATTTTCTTCTTTAGTATGGCCATAAATAAAGGTAAAGATAATTTTGATATTGCTGAGTTTTCACTCAAACAAAACATTTTTCCATGAAATAATAATTCAAGTAGGAAATAAATAAAGAAGCTTACAATTTCTACTGTTTATTACAGTCAAACCCAAACTTTAGTCTAAACTAATTTAAAAAATATTATGCTGCAGTTGTATGTATATTAATGAGTCAAGTTGGCGTGCTGCCTCATTTGGTATACAGAACAAGTTCATTGAAGCTGAGAATGAAACTTGATTAAATATGAAAGCATGATGACTGAAAGCAAAAACAAACAAAATAAGAGCTGTAGAGAGCATAGGCAAAAAGCAAGCGAAGGGAATAAAAAGGGAAGACAAGTAGGGTACTGGTACAGGAGAAAGAATAGATCTATATAAACAGAAATATATTTTACCTGTCATCCTCTTTCCCTTCCTCAGCTTGGTCTTCTTGAGCTTTTTCATCATGCCCTGATTCTTTGATCTCCTCCTTATCACAGTTCTCTGTCACTTCTTGCCCTTCCTCTTTTTCATTTATTTCTTGCTCTTTTGCTTTTTCCTCCACCTCCTCTTTTTCTTCCTCCTCAGGAAATACTTCATCTTGTTCATCCCCTTCCAGCCCTCCCTCTTTTTTCCCCTCTATATCCCTTGTCCTTCTGAAGTCAACAAAAATTGAAAAAGGCATGCAAAAAGAAAAACAAAAGAATAAATTAAAGTTAAGGTCATGGAGAAGAGCATGCATGAAGAAAGGAAATGCAAAAGAAATGAAATAAAAATTAAAGGATAGAAGCAAACATGATGTAAGCCATGCTGGCTAGGAGTCCAGCCTACACTAGAGAACTTTGGAACATTTTCTTAGTAAGTCCCGATTCAAATAACTTGCATGGTAATACCTCACATTTAGAAAGAAATGTATGACATAAACAATGTAGTCCTAACAATGCTCACATGAGCAGATGCTTAACTTTTGCAAATGCTTTCTTTTAAGAGGACAATTTTCTGAGAATTACTATAGGTGATGGAGGTGGGTTACACCTTCTAGAAAAATTATCTTTCATCTTTGCACCAAATGAAAGCCAAAGCTCCTCTGAGTGCACATAGGGTGCAGAAAAAGAAAATGCTGTGTTTTGGTCATAGATACACAATGCAAATCTTGTTGAAGAACAGCTCAATAATTGTACATCTACAGTTAAATTGAACTAGTGTAATATTAAATAAATGGAACTGGTCTGGGTAAGTATTAAATAATACATCTATAAAAGTTCAGCCATCTATTTAAACGAAAAATAAGATGCCTCTGTTGGCACAAATTTTCAAGTTAAACTGTCTTTTCAGCCATATTAAGTATATTTTACAAAATGGTTTTCAGAAAGTGTGTCTAATGCTTGCTGACAGCATATGTTTGTTATTTCAGTGTATGTTAGATAATCCAAGACAACAAAACTTGGCTAAAAACAAATTCCATGAAGAAGCATTAGATAAAAAAGACATTTAAGCCAGTATTTTGCAAAATCTCTGCAAACGTCATTCTAGGCAAAATGCTGCTGTCAAATACAAATATTGATGAGTATTCCATCGCCAAAGTTACACAGCTACAGCTGACACTAGAGCTCACCTGATTTTCTTGTTTCCCCTGGGGCGCTCTGACTGCACAGACATGTAGCTCGTGCTGCTGAAGCGGGAGGCGCTGCTGGTGCGGGACACGGCCGAGACGTCGCTGACATCGCTGTCCGAAGACTTGTTGGACACGTTGTCCGAGCCCCGGTGAGGATCCCGCCCCGACCGGTACTGCAAGAGCAAAGGCACAAAGATATGGTGGTGTTGTGACACGCTACCACAGATCAGCTCTGGACTTGGTCCCTCCTGCTATTAAACTGCCTTTGTCACCACACTGCCTGAACTTTTAAAATGAAGTTTTTTTCCAGAATAGAAGTTACATCTTGGTTTCTGTTAATTTTACTCCGCTTTGCTATCCCAGTCAAGTTAGCTCCTCAGTTTCAACTTGTACAAAATTTCCAGCATGTCCAAAAGTTTCACAAAGCTTAGAAAAGACATCTAAATCCTCATAGAATATTCTTGCCACAACTGTTTCACCAGTGCAGAAAGGAAAGCAGAGAGATTAGTGATTTGCCTATGATTACTGAGTTCATGAAAGATTAAACAGGAGACAGAATGTGCTGCATGCTATCTATAAAGTACATGTGTCTTTTGGGGCCTAGCCTGTTTACAAGAACTTCAAACTGACAAATGTTAATTTTTTTCCCCCAAGTAAATAGATAGATAGGATTATCAAATCAAAAGACAGAGTGATGTTGCAGCTGTGCAAACAAACATGCATCTTGCTGAACTGCTGGGCTGGGAAGTCTGAAAGGATGGGACTGCACTAGAGGTGGTTTGTAGGGAAAATGTACATGTGGCTCAGAAACTAGAATATTACGAAGGTATTTGAGCTCGTTAACAGTAATATCAAACATGGAACTGGCAGGTGACTGGTGATCAGCAGTAAGACAGTATCATGCAGCAGTATTCAGGTTAGATCTGAATAAAAACAAAATACCATGGCTATTTGTTTTTGTTACACGTTAGCAGTAAATTAATGTCAAGTCTGTGCCACTCTGCATGGCACTATATGCAAATATAATAAATAGCAGAAATATATTTTTCCTTCTCTTCATATACAGGCATTTCTGTGTTTGCAGAAATCTGATTGGCTGCTACTGTTATCTTTTCAGAAAAATAAAACTTCAAGATGAATTGTCCATGATCACCAGGTGATTGTTTGGAAATAAGACAGTACAGAATGATACGATGAGCAGCAGAGACAGGACTGAAAGAAAACAATGGGGAAAATAATCTACCTAACACATCAGTGGCTTGTTGAACTCTTCGGGATAGCAACATTGTACTCAGCCACATGGAGAAAATAATTCATGGGGTAAAATGCCAGACCTGTGTAGTACTGCAGAAGAGAAGGATGTCCAGGTTTATCCATTAAATTGGTCCCTTTTTTATCATTTTAAAAGAACCATCTTTCATAAACTACACAGATCATTTTTTTCTGTTCTCTAACAAGGAATGTTACCCTGGGAAATATTCTGAAAGACCGTGCAGTATCTAAATAGGATTTCAGATCTATCTAAACAGGATTTCAAAATAGCATTTCAGTACCTTTCCTCAAAAATTATTTTTACACTTAGAAATTGTAAGTTATTTTGTTCATTTTAAGACAGGGAAATGAACAAGAAAAAATGCTAATGCAAGTCAGACTGTACATCTGCTGCAGAGAGTGACCAATCATAACCATAACTCCACACTTATAAAAATGGTTGCACATTCTACACCAATCTTTATCATTCTTCCTGATCTGTACTAATTTACCATACTTGTGTTCATCAACAACCACTCAAGTCCCTCCCAGCCTTTAAGTGTGAAAGTGAACTTAGCCACTCATAACGCTCAGAAGTTTTAATATTTACTGACTTGTTCTTTTGATGCCATTAATGTTTTTGCTTGATGAAGAAGACTGTGCATATTATTACTTATATATTCAATTGGAAATGGAAAAGCAATGATTAAACAGCTGTCTTGATCATCAGAGATAATGGTACATCATATCAGAATGAAAGGAGTGTCCTTTTAAGCAACTCCTTTTAAAAGAGCAACTACTTAGCCCTTCTGAGAAATGAAAAATAGTTTTGCCTAGAGAAAAGTGTATATATTGAGTCCTATCCCCTTACCTAACCTTCCCTAGGATAATTCTTCATTGAAGAGCAAAGTTATGAATGTGGCTTCTGGTGATTTAGCCTAAAGCTACCAGGACTGGAAAGTACAGCCTGGTGTACTGGGCCACCACCCCACTACGGAAAAGGCAATGCAGAGCTACCCTCAGGCCTTCAGCACCGTCAGAGCCCCCAGGGAGATGTCACTGCTGTGCCAAACCCTGCACTGCCATGGCCACAGTGCCACTGGCCCCCAGCAGCTCAGGGATAGCCAGGACAGGAGTGCCTGTGTGAGCAGGGCTCCTGCTGGCCACAGGACGGGCACGCTGCACTGGGGAAGAAAGATGGACCATGGACCATAGCATCATGTGCAAACCATGGATGGAACTGTTAATCCTACTGCAGTTAGGGGATAGGTAATGGTGTGGTGACTCAGAATAACAGGCGTTGGCCTGCAGACCCTACACTGAGCTTGCCCAGCAGTCGATGGAATGAGCCCTTCTGAATTAAACATGAAGTGGCAAACAGAATCATCATTGCACAAAGTTATTCTAGAGTCATTCTGCAGTGCACAAAGTCAAAAACACGTGGTTTTGATTTTCTGTTTCATTTCCACATCAAAAGAATGTCAGATTTTAAACTACTGCAAAGCAGTGGGCTGTATATAACAAATCAGATATTTCCAAAAATAAAAAAAAAAACTTATTGTGCTGGTTTGGTGTGGTTTTTTTAGTCAATGCAATAGTAATAATTTAGTGATATATAGTGAAGACAGAGAATTGTTTTGGCAAGAAATGCAACTTGAAAGTAAATAATTTTAGAAATATAATGTGAAAAAAGATCATCAAATAATTACCTTGTCTCTTTTTTCTTGGTTGTACGTAAAGGTATTTCCCATAAAATGCTTTTTGTTGGGATAGATGTCACTGAAATTATGATTAGTCAAATGATTATTTAACTGTTACAGCTTCAGGATGTTTTAAGATTAAAACTGGGAAAGTTAATTGATCCATTCATTAAATCTGAATGTCTTAATATACAATACTATTTAAAGGTTTTGTTTATACCTTGTCTGAGTTACAGTCTCAGCATCTGCTAGCTGCCTACAAGGAAACATCTACTAAATGAAATTAAATTGTCTTTATTGCTGGACAAAGTTCAGATACCTCACATTCACTCATTAACTGCTCCTAATAACCCGTTATTCTGCTGCTGAGGTGTACTTTTAACCTTGTATCTGACTTAATTTTGTTTAGGAAGTGGATTACAGTAGTGTATTGCATATTAGTGTCTCCATAACTCCAGCACAGAGGACCAAAGGAACCATATTGCTTGTCTGACAGAAGCCATGCTGGCATTTTAGTTTTACATTTGTTTCTTAAATTGCAGTCCTATACAAGGCAGCTTTTGAAGTGCTCATTTGCTGACCGCCTCAAGAGTAAAATGGCACTTCCATTGTGCAAATATTGACTTTTTCAAAAGTATTCAGTTCTTCCATGTCATATACTCCAACTGTAAAATGCAACCATTTCTTCAGTTTTGTGCTATTGCTTTTTCAGTTTTTGTGTGGTTAAAGTTGCCCCAAGGCATCACATCTTCATATATTTCACATCCTTCCTCCATTTCCTCCTCCAAATTTAACTTTCTTTTTTTCTAAATGTCACCCATTGTATGACAAGATCAGCTATTGGACTGAAAAAGAAATTTTAACCAAGTGCTATGCCCCCATTAAATCTGAAAAACCGATACCATTTCCCATCCCTCTCCAGTGCTGTCCCTGTGTCCTGTGCTGTAGGATTTGCACCATCTGACTGCACACTGACAGGGAGCTGCAGTCCCCATGGCTGGATCAGCATGGCCACTGGTTTCCATCATCGGCTCCAGCAGCTACCCTGTGTGCTCCAATATGCCTCATCAGAAAACATGAGTACAAGGACAGTAATGAGCATCACACCTCCCCTGGGGTGAACAGTTAGGTGGTCCAGGGTGTGGTTAAATGTACCTGCACATTATAAAGATTAGCCAAAAGGTTTCTTTCAGATTCTTTATCTTTTGTCTTTCAATACCAGCCATGACAGTAGGAAAATTATCTCCTGACTTTCCCCAGGCTGGAAATACAGGCTTCTTTTGCTGGAATATGGTTAAATTTTCATTTCCACCCCAGTAAAGTCTCATATAATAAAGGCAACATTCCGGACTTTACAACCCATTAAGCAGTCAACCCAACCTCTTCAAGCTGTTTCAAAAATGGGAAGTCTGCTGAAAGCAGAGGGATTGATTAAAAGTTGTTTCTGTAATTTTAATAGTAAGATGGTTTTGTCATATTTTGCAGTGTCGAAGAGTGAGAATAATTTCATTATTACAGATTCTATCAAACAAGTATTCCAAAGTTTCTAAAAGCATTTTTATCTGTGTTAGTAGAAATCAGCTGGAGAGCCTAACAAAAGGACAGTTAGGTGTTAGTGCCTATGCCTTTTAACTTCAAGAGATTACTGTCCTATAGTGACAAATGCATGGTTATTAAAGCTGAAAAGCAAATATGTAGTCTGCTTCCTAATATAACAACCTCTGCAAACATTTTGACTTCTTTGTGAAGTACCAGTAAATGGCTGACAGGATACATAGAGCTGCAACTCGTCTGACACTGATGCTCTTATTTCTGCAAAGAAACTGGTTTGGAACTTCTAGTTCAAAGGGAGTTTAAAGTGTTTCATGTTGTTTTACTCTATTGTTACAATTCTTCCATCTTGGACTATACAGTCACACAGCTGTCCAGGCAATTGACATTGTCAGTGATTTCTAAACGTCTTTCTATTTTATTATCTTTTCTTTTTTTATAGTCTACTCATCAGTTTTTATTTCCTAGCATTTACATAGGGACATACAAATCTGGTCAATGTTTTTAGTGATCAAAATGCTGGGAAGATGTTTCAGACAATTGTCTATTGTGCTATTACCAGAAGATTAAAGAATCATTCTGGACTCTTTCAATAGTTCTTTGACTCACTAACAAAAAGCTCTTAAGCAGCCAGAGCACAGCAATTTGAAATGTTCTATACCTCTTGGTGT